TACTGGTGGAGAAAATCAAGTATTTCAGATTCTCCCTTCAAAATGGCATGACGCAACTTCTGCCCTGTCTACTTGAATTTTTTAGCTATTTAGAGAATCAAAAAGTATGCACATCCTATCACAGAAATAGGCTGTAGCCATGGCTGCCTCAGGAAGTTCCTTGGCCTAAAAAAGGGATATGATTTCAAGAAAGAGTGAGGCACTCAGTACCTGTGGGGCACAATTTTCTTCCATGTTACAGAAAGGTTCTTGAAAAAATGTGTCTCTCAGTAAGTTTCGGAGCCAATTGCAAGCTCATCTCATGAATAGAACAATAAAGTTCAACAATAGAGGACCACTCAATGACCTCATTTCCAATGCAAAGTTTGTGGGCTTGGAGATTGCTCTTGGTTTTTTTTGGGAAGGTGCGGAACATCAAAGACAAAGTAAACGTGTTCGTTGTCAACTTCAAAAAATGGCTTATCAACACACAAACCAAGCTTACGTGTGAAGCCCCCTAACCACAGACCACAGCCTTTACTCTGAAGCCAACAGTCTTAAGCTCCCGAATGAGAGAAATGACGAGACTGCGTTAAACAGAGGACGTTTTTGGAGTGACAACAGTGTATGCAAGGGGCTAAACGCACCTCCTGGAAATTTCAGACAGCATAACAACCAAGGCTCTATCTGCAATGTTAGAGGTTCGTTCAAAACCGTCATCTGTAAACCCATGGACAATGTTGTGTGCAGGGTCGTTAGTTAAATTCTTTTTTTTTTTAAACAATCTCATCGAAAATTAACATGCACACACGTTCAAGTGCAGCCAGACAGCCCGGCAGAAACAACAGCGCGAGAAGCTCGAACCGATCGGCTCCACGAATTCACGCCGAGCATGCGAGCACGCGGGCGGTCATGCGTCACCTTGATTGATGCAAAGTCGACCGAACATGATGCAGCAGAAAGCACAGATGGACGGCACGCACGGCACAGACGAACGACGCAGGGACGAGCAGAGGCCATGCAGAATGATGCAGAGGCGACGGCGTGCAGGCAGGCAGGCCATGGCAGGCGCCATTCATCGCGTGGTTTTTGTGACGTATTTGATTTAAACTATTTAGTCGTTTTAAGTACTTTAAATAATTTTAAAGCATTGCCATTTAAAAAAATAAACACTTTACACAGAAAGAGTTTTAAGTAATTTTAACCAAATTGCAGAAAAGCGCCACGTAGCGGAGGGTATGAAACGCACTATCTGGACCGCGAATCGGCTCCTGTGTCCTCTCTTTACGTTTACTATATTACTCTATGTCGTGCGTGTCTCCTGTCGCGCTTCAGAGTTGAAAGTATAATCGTACGTGCCGGGTGTGTCCAGTAGCGGCCAGGCTCCTTAAATGCACCTCAAACTTCTGTTTCTTAACCTATCGCGCTCCGACTTTCTGCAGCGTTGTTTATAGGTGGTGCATTTCTTCAATAAAGCTTACAAACAACAAACTTGCGTGAGAAAAGAGTTAAACAAAAATTCTTAACTCCTTTGGAAAGGCAGCAAAGTGACCGGTCTTCAAACAATAGTGCTTCCTATTGATTGAAGACCGGTGGCTTCTCTGGGCTTTCATAGAAGTTAATTCTTTTTCTGTCTTAAATTATTCCTCAGTAAAGATCTCTCTTTGCGATATGTAAAGAATAAATGCACCACTTGTGGGCAACGCTGCAGAAAATTGCAACGCGATAGGTTAAGAAACCGAATTTTGCGGTCGATATAAAAGCCTGGCCGCTATTTCAGACACCCGATATTCATGTTGTCCGAATCGAAAGGACGCCCCTGCGTCCACTCAATAAGTTGAGTCTCGAGGGTCCCACATTCGAGCAATCCTTGCCTTCTTTACAGTGCAGTAGCTGCGGTGCAGTGTCGTGATAGAAAAAAAAGAGTCATTTATAATTTAGGGCAATTAATCGATAAACCTACCGATTAATTGATTAATGCAATTAAAGCGATTATTTTTTTCAACCAGTTAGTCGGTAACATTTTGACAAATTGAAAGGAAATAAGACTTAAACTCTTCTTTCACGCAGACGCACATGGGTACAGCTATATGAAGGGCCCACTTTACGTGAAAGTTTAGCTAAAGTAAACTGTAGGAGTGAGATGTCTAACTCCAGACACTTGCCGAATATTACACGTGTCCCGGCCTCTTTAACGCCGTGTAAGTTATCGTTTAGCGCCTCAGAGGCTAACAATCAAAGGAGGTAACTCCTGCTGGAAAATATGAACGAAACCCTTTTCCTTATACAGCTAAATTATGAATGTGTGAGTGCTTTTGAACTGTTCTCACCTACCAATACAGGATGATTCATTATCCAAATTGTATATTCTTCTGTTTATCACATATTCACCAAAAGGGTAACAAAGTAAATGGGGCAGTTCTAAAAGAATTATGCGAGGAAATAATCGAGCTCGACTAACTGATTAAGGAATTGATTAAAGGGTGGCGACTAAACAGGTTAAAATTTTTAATCATCGCTCAGCCAATCATTTATGCTGGATATTTTACTTTTATGTATATTTCTTAAAACATATACCACCAACTCCCACAACTTTCAGCCATATACTTTACTCTCTCGCCTACATTTCGAGGCCATTTGGAGTACTGTTTGCGTACAAGTAAATGTGTGTAGCTTAACGTTTTTTACTCAATACTACGAGTGGTAATAAATTCTAGACGGCGTACGGCCAGCAGGGAAAAATGTCATGTAACGTCCCAAAACAAGGGTTGTGGTCCTGGCGTTTGGTGAGTTTTATCGACTGCAAGTATAACTGTACCAGACAACTGCTTTCTTTATTCGCAAGTCAGACATAAAAAAAAAAATTCCGTACTCCTCTGTTTTTACTTGGTTTGTTATTACGGTCCTCACGTAACATCTACGTCTGTTTAACGTCTCAAATTGTTACGATTGAGCGTTAGCTATTGACCAAATTCTCCGTTAGTTTAAATGTACCCAGGCAGCACACCAATGTTGGACCTACATTGGGCCAACAATGGCAAACGCTGCCTCCGGAGGTTGGTCCAACATTGGTATTCTGGCCGAGCGCAACTTCTTCCAATGTTGGCCCAGCCATTGGCACCAACGTTGGGCCATCGTTCAACCGATGTTCCAGCCATCATTGGCACCAACGTTGGGCCATCGTTTAACCAACCTTCCAGCCGTCATTGGCGCCAACGTTGGGCCATCGTTCCAACAATGATCCAGCCATCATTGCACCTTGTTAGGCCATCGTTAAACCAATATTTCAGCTATTGTTGGCATCCACACTATGTCATTGGCTATGCCAATTTTGGCTTTCACACTAATTCAATGGCTATGCCATCATTGGTATACAAGTTCAATCATTGAATAGGCCGTTATCGGCAGTCAAGCTGATTCATTGGCATGTCCCAGTGTTAATGCCATATCTTTAATGCTGGCTATGCAATGATGGCAATGTGTTTAAATCCTGGTTATTCCAACATTGGGTTTTAAGAACCCCTGGCCTGTTTCTTATTAGCATCCCACTGCAAGAAAAACATTCTGGGCACAAATGGCAAGGTCCTCCTCTGCTTTGTCTGTGCACTATTTTATCTGGCGAGGAAATTACTAATTCAAGATCAATTAATACTTTTTTCGGAACTTTTATTGAAAGGGGCTAGGGAGGAAGCTCAGCGGGGAGCCTATGCCTGGTCCTGGGAAAGGTCCTGGGGCGAGTTCTGGGGCTGGGGAGCCATTACGGCTTCCGACCGCCTTTTCCTGCAGCCTCCCTTGTCGCAAGACCCTGCAGCCACTTCAGCACCATTTTTAAGCTGCCGATTCTTCAATTGCTAGCTTCGCAGTGATGGCATCTACGAAAAGATCCAAAGGTCAAAGATCAACGCTTTCGAACCCACATCGGTCTTAGTAAAGCACACTCCCAAGCAGCACTTCTACAAATGTTAAGGTTTGAGTGTCCCCTAAAAAGTCCCTCGCTCACGACTTTTCAGTTCTTGCGGCGTAGCACCCGTGGTAGCCGATGATCAGGGGTCTACGACGTCAGGGCCGAGGTCCGGACGTAGTGACGAGGCAGTTGACCGATGGCCGAAGGCTTGAATCAGGCCCCGTACGCCGGTGGCAACCTATGACCAGGTGTCCGCCAAGGTCTGGGCCGAAGGACGTGGCGACGAGGCAGTAGGGCGTTGGCCGAAGGCTTGAGTCAGGCCCAGAACGTCTGTGGCACGGAGTGGCAGCGGGTGTTCAACTGCGCCACGCATGCAGTCTTGTCTACCTCCGGAAGGTTGGCGCCCGGACTGCGTGAGAAGTGGGTTGTGGGTGGGGCCTCTTGACGTCTGGTCACGCCGACGGAGGTCCGGCCTGGTCGCGTCTGCACCGTCCTTTGTCAATCGCCCGAATCCCCTCTCGCGCTCCTCGCATGCCCCCACCGTTGCCCCACCTCGTCTTCTTTTTTCTCGTCCTCTTCGGCTGGTCGCGGGATCGCTCATCACACCTAAAGTCACTGGATCCTGGGAAAGTAACGCCAAGCTCCCCGTGTGGTGGCCATCTTGGTCCGTTAAATGAGCAATTTCTCCTTGACCCCTCCGTTCTTGGTGAGCCGATCTAGATTCGCTGGTGACGGTAGCTTTGTGGAGTAGTTTTTTGTATATTGAGATATCGCTAACCACACACCGGCGAAACAAGCGTACACCTTCGTACCACCACCAGATGCTGTGTCGGTGCTTGGAGCCACTGAAAAATAAGTTTACTGTATTGAAATCCGCAAGAAGAACAATACAATCGTAAGAGATCCATGGAAATGGGCATGAATAATATGTTGATTGCATACAGAGTGCCAAAGACCCTTATATTGGCGAGGAACGCCTCCAGTACGATGATGCTCCATGGTAATCTTGGCGCGACTGGTTTAGAACGACCCTCTGGAAGCTTCGAAGATTTAAATGGACCAAGATTGCGATTTCCATGGCAACGTAGACCGTTTCGTCTACGTTGTCAGCGGCGCCATGACACCCGCATCGCCGGCCCAGCCTACGAAGGCATGTACGTTCGATGTTTCCTGCCCGCCCGGCGCGTCGGTGGATTCTATCTTCGACGCGGCGGCGGCCATTGTCGGCACTGCCGAATTGTTCTCTGTGCAGCATCTGGGAGGCAGCGACTTTCAGATGTCTGTTACATCGTCATCGGCCATGAGCCGAATCGTCAACGCCGGGGCTCTGACCATCGGCGGAACAAGCGTCCCCATCGTCCCGGTAGGCCCGCAAGTAACGTCCATTACGTGCCTCTACCTACCGATTTATGTGAGAAACGAAGCCCTCGCCGCCGCCCTGTCGCTTTACGGGAAGGTTCTGGATATTCGCTTCGGCGTCTACCAGGACCACCCCAACCTCCGGACGGGTACCCGCTACATCCGAATGGAGATGAAGGAGTCTACCCCGGTGCCGAACTTCCTCCGCGTCTCCGGTCATCGGGCCACCTTCGACTACCGCGGTCTCAAGAGAGTCTGCCGACGCTGCCAGCAGGAGGGCCACCTCAAGGCGGCCTGTAACGTGCCCTATTGTGCCCGCTGCGCCGCCTTCGGCCACGACACCGTCGGCTGCACGGCCGGCTGCGGACGCTGCGGAGCGGCCCACGCCACGGTGGACTGCACCCAGCGTCGCAGCTACTCAGCCGTGGCCGGCTGCGGCCAGGACGACTTCCCGGCCTTGACACGGCGTCCCAGACTCCGAAGTCCCAGGGCAGGCCTCCTACCACCCCTACTCCCCCCCCTGCGGCGACGGCCGCCACCCAAGGGTCCGGTGACACGCCTACCCCCGCCGAGCCCCCAGTGACGACCCCGTCCGAGCTCGCCCCGACATCGCAACAGTCGAAGCCGGCAAGCGCCACCGACGCGAATTCGAACGCGTCACAGGACGCCGCCGAGGCCGCGCTTTCGAATGCGGTCCACACCGCATCTGTGCACGCGCCCACTCCTACCAGTCCCGGCACAGAGGAAGTACTGGTGAAGGAGGAACGCCCGCGAACGCCGGAACTCTGCCCCAGCCCGCTTCCCAGCTGGAGCGACATTACGGAGGACTCTGCCTCATCGTCGGACGACCGCCTCGTCATCGACGAGGTTGCCCACGACAAAGACAGCGCTCTGCCGCGCGGCCGAGATCGTCGCCGCGGCACCTCCGAGGAACTCCGAAAAACCTGCAGCCGCAGTCGCAGCCCGCATGGCGGTGCCGAAGACGGGAAGCGAGATCTTTCCAGCAGCGGCGAATCAGGGTCCCCAGGATCCACTCCAGCATCGGCAGCGGCTCCCAAGCGGTTGCGGAAGGACCTCGTCGCGCTGTCTGACAGCTCGTGCATCACATCCGATACATCCACGTACTAGCAGTGAACACAACGACCCCCCCCCCCCTCCATCCCCTTTTCGCGCACCTGCGAGTCATCACCCTGAACGTTCGGGGCTTCCGCAGCGTGACAAAACAGATCGAGGTCATCCAGTTCGCCCGAACCGCCCGTTGCGACCTCCTGTTCCTGCAAGAAACGAACTTCCACAGGCAGCGCGACGTGGACCTCTTCAAGCAGCGGTATGGGGTGGATTGTTTCTTTTCATACGCCACTACACGGAGCTCGGGGGTGGGGGTCATTATCTTTAACCGCTCGCTCCTCCGTCTCAGCGCGTGCTGCTTTGACCCCGACGGGCGGTACATCGCTTTTGATTTCTTCGTGGACGGCACGCGCTTTCGTGCTGTGGGCGTGTACGCTCCAGCCCAGCGTTCGCAATCCCCGGCCTTTTTCAAGAGCCTGGACGTCCATCTGCTCGACGCTCGCCACTGCCTGCTCCTCGGCGACTTCAACTGCGTCGTCGATTCCCGGCGCGATGTCAGGGGCCCAGGCTACGGACGCACCACGTGGAACGGCGGCGAGCTGATACGCCTGATGCGACACTTCGACCTAGTGGACTGCTGGACTCTGCTCCATGGCACCGCTTTCGAGCATACCTGGCAACGAGGAAACTCGAGCAGTCGCCTGGACAGGTGTTACATCTCCGAGTTTCTGAGCCCCTCTGTCACCGCCTGCTGCGCAATGAACTTCCCTCCCTCCACTACGTACATTTCCGACCATCGTCCGGTACTCGTAGAGCTCCGCTTCAGCAGCAAAGCCAGTACTCAACGCACCTGGCGTCTCGACACCCGACTGCTGCGAGACAAAACAAGCCGCGACTGCCTGAGAGAAGCCTTGCGCCGGTCCCTCCATGGAGCGGCACCAGACCCCTTGACCTTTGACCGGCTTCAAGACAGCTGGCGGGTGGCGTGCGTGGCGGAGGGTCGTGCACTGCGTCGGCGGCACGCCGAGCAGCTCCGAGACACCTCTCTGCGAATTCGGATCGTGCGACGGGGCGGCGCGGGGACTCCGCTAATGCGGGGCTACCTGCAGCAGCTCCTCGACCGTTACCAGCGACAGCTGCGACTTTGTACCAACGCAGCCACAGCCTACCACGGACGGGTCGGGCCCTCGGCTCACTCCGAGGTGCTGCGCTACGCCCACCGCACCGAAGTGCGGGAGCGACGCGTCCCTTCAGTGCCGACAACCCCAGGCGCGCCAGCAACACTAGGTCAACCGTCGGTCTCCGGTTTCAGCGCCCACTTCCGGGCCCTGGCAACCACCGAATTGGCGGTGGACCGTGCGACCCTCGTGGCGCACCCCTTTCTACTCGATCTCCCGCAAGCTCCCGAAGACCTAGCCGCACACCTGCACGAGCCCCCAACCCCGAAGAGGTGCTCCTTGCCCTGTCAAGAATGAAAACTGGGTCCGCGCCGGGCCCAGATGGGTTTCCCGCCGAATTCTACCGTACCTTCTGGGACGTGCTGGGCAACTATATCTGTGCCGTGCTCCGGGAATTTTTCACGGAGCACCGCCTTCCAGAGTCGTTCCGCCGAGGCAGAATCATTCTTCTGCCTAAGGAGGGAGGAGACCCCAACGACCCGGGCGCGTGGCGTCCCATCACGCTACTCAACGCAAGCTACAAGCTGCTAGCGTCGATCATCACGCAGCGCCTCCACGGCATGCTCCCGGACGTGGTGACACCCCACCAGACGTGCTCGATCGTCGGCCGCAGCATTCAGACCCTGACATCCCTGACGAGGGACGTGGTGCAGTACACGAACGCTCGCCAAGTCAGAGGGCTGATCGCCTCCCTCGACCAAGCGAAGGCTTTCGACCGGGTGGAGCACCCGTTCCTCCTGGCCGTGCTCACCGCTTTCGGTATTCCTCCTGAAGGGGTTCGACTCTTCGAGACGCTCTACAGTGACATGAAAAGCGACCTCTATCTAAACGGCGGTGTGACGGCCAGCTTCCCCGTCACCCGGGGGGTCCGCCAGGGTTGCCCGCTCTCGCCGCTGCTCTTCGTCCTTACACTGGAGCCCTTCCTAGCCAACGTCGAAAGGACCCCCCAGGTCCGCGGACTCTCCCTGCCCGGAAACGGCGAGGTGAAGGTGTCGGCATACGCCGACGACATTACACTGTACCTGCGGGACACCGACGACCTCGGAGCGGCTCTCCGGATCTTCGAGACCTACGGGTCTCTCTCCGGAGCGAAGTTGAATGAGCAGAAGAGCGCGGTGCTGTGGGTTAACCGACCGCCTGACCCCTCTTCACCGATCCCGTAAAAACTTCGGTCACGATCCTTGGTGTCACCTACCGCTCGTCAGGAGTCTCGGCGGACATGTGGGCGCGCCTGGCGCGCGACATCGGGGAGAAAGTGGACTCTGCTCGCTCCTACGCCCTTCCCCTGGCCGAGCGCAGGTACCTAGCCTACTCTGTCTTCTGTGGACGCCTCTGGTATCTGGCGCAAACGGCGCTCCCGACCTCACGTTTCATCCGACCGGTGAAAAGCGCGCTCTACAGCTTCTTCTGGTCAGAGAAGACGGAGCTGGTCACTCGGCCAGTTGTCTGCCTCCCGCGCGAGCGTGGAGGGTGGGGCTTTCCCTGTGTCGACATCGCACCCGCAGTACTCCAACTCAAGACCATGCTGAAGATATTGCGCGATGAGCACGGCCCAGCCCGACCCCTCGCGCTCTACTTCGTGGGGCACTCCCGCCGAGAACTGGGAGTCGAGTCGCCGAGGTCACCCGGCCCCTGTGCCGAAACCCCGCCGTCTGACTACCGAAGGGCAATACAGCTCTTCAAACGCCTCAAAGAGCGGGCGCCCCAGCTGGACGTAGTGCAGACACCGACGGCTCGTCTCACAGAGGTCCTCCTGGAGCCTCAGATTTCGGCAACGCAGGTGGAGCTCGGAGACTCTTTCTCCTGGTCCCGCCTCACTTTTTCGTATCTCCCGGGGCACCTACGGGACTTCGAATGGCAGCACGGTTGGGGCGTCCTCCCCAGCGGAGACCGCTTGCTCCGCTGGGGCGTGTCGCGCACGGACGAGTGCCCTAACTGTGGGAATCGCGAAACGAATGTGCACGCGGTGAAGGAGTGCGTTGTGGCGCGGACGTTCTGGCGCGTCATCCGCACCAGCTTCCGCGGTTTGGGCGTAGGACTTTACCTGCTGCGCGGGAGATGCCCTCCGGGCGTCTTCGTCCGTCTCCTTCTCGCCGCGGCCGAGTACGTGCTGTGGAGGAACCGGTGCTGCGCGGTGAGACAGGCGCGTCGATCGCGTGCTCTTTGGCCCCTCCTGTGGCGGCTCCGGCGGGAGCTCGTGGGACACCTCGAGGAGCAACTGTTTTTCCTCGGAGAACAAGAGTTCCTCAGGCGCTGGTCCTGCCGGTACCTGAGCGTTCGCGACTCGCGGATTGAACTCCGCTTCAGGTACCTGGGCAACCTCTAGGTCCCTGAGTTCAGAGCGGTGCCGTTGGGGGCGCGGGCGCGGGTGTGCGGCTCTGGGATGACGCTTCGGCCGCGTGAGTGATCGCGCGGACGGGGACACCTCGGGGTGTGCGCCTTCGAACTTGTGAGTGTGGCTCCGCGGCAAAGACCCGCCCACTGTACAGACACTGGTTCGCGCATATATGTGTACACAGTGTTCTTAACCTCTGCGCGTCTCTTACAAAATCCTGTCCACAGTGTTGCAAATAAATTTTCTAATTAGACCGATTAGCCATCCGTTTGTGTCCGGTTAGCAGGTAGGGAAGGCAATGGCGCTACTTTCCCAGGATCCAGTGACTTTAATCACACCAGACTAAGCCAATCAATTACCAACGTTGGTAGACCACTGGCTAAGACAGGCAATTGGTGGCCAGCTTAAACCAATCGATTGCCAACTTTGGTAACCCGTTGGCTCTATTTCTGAGGGCGTTGTCACTACCGTAGTCAGTACTGCAGTTGCCGTATTTTGTACGCACTTTTAAGTCATTTTTGGGCAAGCAGGCATAATGCTCAACTTCTTCTGTTATATGTTGCGTGATAACCTTTCTTTGCAGATTGAAATGCGCATCAGCTCTATGTCACCTCCTACCTCAAACATAGGGTGTTCGAGATGTTAATTCAACGCAATTTTAGAGCGCAGCTGTTAGGGGCCCGTTTCCGGCTTGAGCGGCGTCGGCGTAACCGCGAGGTCACGTGACCCACCCAGGTCACGTGACACCCCTAGGTCCCGTGACACCCCTAGGTCACGTGACCCCCGAGGTCACGTGACCCCCAGAAGTCACGTGACCCCCTTGAGGTCACGTGACCCCCTTAGGTCATGTGACCCCCAGAAGTCACGTGACCGCCTTGAGGTCACGTGACCCCCTGAAGTCACGTGACCCCCTTGAGGTCACGTGACCCCCTTAGGTCACGTGACCCCCTGAGGTCACCTGACCCCTTGAGGTCACGTGACCCCCAGAAGTCACGTGACCGCCTTGAGGTCACGTGACCCCCTAAGGTCATGTGACCCTTCAGGTCACGTGACCCCCGGAGGTCACGTGACCCCCTGAAGTCAGGTGACCCCTTTGAGGTCACGTGACCTCAAGGAGTCACCTATCCCTCAGTACGCTTCCATCTTCCTCCTCAAGAGCTGCGCTCTAACCGGCGTTACAGGGAATTGTAAACGGCTTTAATTTTTTTTATTCGTGAAGACATGTAATTGCTTAATCAGTCGCTGGATACTTGTTTAAGGTTTTATTTTTTTTCTAAAAGTATTAGTGCTTTTTATTTATTTTTTAATTATGTCCGGTTCAGTCTGAATTATAGGCCGCGTTTTTCGGCTCAGCAAAGGGGGTTGCCTTGCGATTTTCAAGATCACATACAGCTGACAATACACCCGTGTCCTAGGTTGGGGAGGCGGGTGGAAATTTCGGGGTTGAACCCAGCTGCCTCCCCCCCCCCCCCCCTCTTTGGAAAGGTTTCCCGGCTGCGTCGCTAAATGGGCATAAGAGAAGAGGCACTATGCTTTTTGCCGTATAAACATATACACAAATCGAAGGAAGCGTGCATTTTGTATTTCGTGTGGAATTTACTAAGCATAACTATCAGTTTTGGGAAGACGCGTGTTAGTTATAATCGGTGACAGGTGGTAGAAGCTTCTCCCACCTCTTTCCATATTTGTAGATCGAAAGATCAGGAGGAGTCAACCTCCTCCTCAGCGTTTATTTTTAACCTGTCACCGAACACGGTTTTTTCTGCGTGGACGTTCAAACTTGCTACAGCTCGCAATGCATACAGCGTTCTAATTCAGTTGCTAACTTGCTCTGCGTGTGAAAACTGAAGAATCGTTCCACCCGGAGGCATAGCTAGAGATTGTTCTCAGCGTGCGCGATCAGCACATTAAAAGAACTAAGCCAATTATATATAACATTGGTAAGCCACTGGCTAAGACAGGCCAATGTTGCCCAGCCTAAGTCAATCGATTACCAATGTCGGTAGTTGATTGGCTTAAGCTGGCCAACATTGGCCTGTCTTAGCCAATCGATCACCAATGATGCCAACTCATTGGCTAACATAGACCAATGTTGGCCAACCTAAGCCAACCAATTGCCAACGTTGCTAAGCCGTTGGCTGCGGGTGGCCAATGTTGGACAGTCTAAACCAATCGATTGCCACCGTTGTTAAGCCATTGGCTGAGGTAGGCCAATGTTGGCCAGCCTAAGCCAATCAATTACCAACGTTGGTGAGCCGTTGGTCAAGTCAGGCCAACATTGGCCAGTATATTCCAGTGTACCACCAATATTGGTGCTACGGCGGCCACATTGGCCCAATATTGGACCATTGTTCGCCAATTACATACCAATATTGGCCCAACGTCGTGTGCTGTCTGGGTATGTTCCTAACAAATTACTCATTGATAGGGATAATTCGACAAAGCTTTTTTCACTAGAAGATCGCCTATGTCGTTTTTTTGTTTTGTTTTTTTGCTCAATTTTATTGTTTATAACGGTTTGTTTTATTTTTTTTTAATTAAAGTTACTGCAGCAATTAAGGGCTTTGAAACTATGTGCCTCCTTAGAATATATATATTTTTTTGCATTAACTTTCTTAAGATTCATATTTATGCACATTTTATATTGCGGGAGGATTTACTTTTTCACTGTTATAACCAAAATAATAAAGGTGGTGCTGCTGGTGATTTTATTAGGCTTGGTAAAGTCCAGAATGGGTAACAGATCTAAAGGGTGCACGACTGGCACTAATATTTTTAAGCATGCAGCAACCAGAATAGAGAACTAGTAAGTTCATCTCAAGGGAAAACAGCAGGACAACAATGGTCCCATTGATTGCTTTCCGAAAATATGGTACCAATAATTTTTTTCTGAAACTGGCAAATAAAGTTTGAGAAAAGTATAAAAATTTGAAACATTCGTGAGCTAAAAATGAGCGTCTTG